CGGCGGCGGCGGCGCAGACAGGGACCCGGAGCCCTACACATGCTTCGCCCGCGCTCGGCGCTTTACTTTATCAACATCAAGCTCCCGATAATTAGCCGCGGCCCGGGGAATTTGGGACCAATAAGAAGCGCTAATCGGCTCTGACGTCAGAGGCGTGCTGGGTGCAAGGAAACGTTTTCCATATCGATTGCTAATTATACCTGACATGCACCTCAATAAACAGTATCAGGAACTGTCACAACAAGACGGAGGGGGGGGGCAGCAGGGAGGGAGGGGCGCGGCCCGCGCTGGGCGGGCGCGGGGAGCCGTGGGGCAGGGGCCCCTGGCGAACCCCCCACTTCGGTCCTCGCTGGCCCAGCCCGCGCCTCCCGCGCCGCCGGCTCCCGCCCCTCCGCAAATCACTAATAGATTTCCCTTTAAAACATTCACCGCGTGTTGTGGGGATTTTTCACCAGAAATGCTGTACTCTGTGAACCTTTAAAGTGATGTTGCTCCAATTACAGAGAGACATTGAGCGGCAAATAGACTGATCCAATAATAGGAGATTCATCATCCGCTCTTTCCGAAACTGTCACATTGAATTTAAAACTACAAGGGCTTCTCATCTCTCCGGCTGCAGGCAGCGGGCAGAGGAGGAGGGAGAGGGAGGAGGGGGAGGACCGCGAGTCCAGGAGAGGAGGACTCCTGCAGAATGTGGCTGCCTGTCAGCGAAGAGACGTCCCTGTGCCCTCTCTGATTGATTGGCAGCCGCCTGTCTAAAAGAACGGGGGTGGGTGGCTGAGGAGGCACCCTGCCCCCACCGTACCCCTACCAGGGTCCAACAGGGGCACAGGGGGAGGGACGGAGGAGGGAGGGAAAAGTAACTTTGGAATGGCAGCCAATTGGGCCCCCTACACACACGAATAAAAAAATAAACACATCTCGCTTTGACTCGGCCTCTGAAGAATAGGGTCGAGGTACCCAACCCATTTATTATAATTAAATTATGTGTCACTCCCTTCTCCTCTATAGAAACGGATAAATCATTGAAGGATATATTCTTAAATAAGCAGCAAATGAGGGCCGTGGGCAGAAGGGACAGAAACCCGTGTCCATATATATAATAGCCTCTGTAAAAAAGTTTGTCGTTGGGGAGGTTGCACGGTGCTGAGGCCCCGGTGCCCGGACCTGACCTGGGTGGGGGCAGTCCCCAGAGGCAGCGGAGGAACAGCGGCCCTGCGCCCCTGGCCGGGCCAGTCTTGGGAGCCTGTCGCCTGCCGCCTCTCACCCCAGAGCAAAGCAACAGCTAAGCTGGCCTTCGATGTAAGTGGCTTTGGCCAGGCTGCCAAGCCGGGAGCCGGGAGCAGGGAGCGGGAGCTAAGGGGAGCGAAGGGGAGCGAAGGGCAGCGAAGGGCAAGGGCAGAACGACTGTGCGTATCCATGCGTCCTCCCCGCGCCGGCCCTTGTGTCTGTCCCTGTCCGTGTGTGCTCCTGTCCCGCGAGGCGTGCACGTAACCGCGCCGGCGGCCAGAGGGAGAGGTTGGAGCCGGGCACCGGGGCCGAGGCCAGGCCTTCCCACCTCCGCCCGGCCGGCGCGTGCTTCCGCCGGGGCCAGCCTGCAGGCCGAGGCGCGGGACCCGCAGCCCGGCGTAGGTGCTGTTTGAATGCGCCCTGGCCGTGCCGACTACGGTTTAGCAGCCCTGCTCAATCCCCTTGCTGCACAAGAGGGAAAGGTTGCGGGCAGGCCCCGCACTCCGTGAGCGGGCCTGGAATTCGGGGCCTAGGAAGACGCTGCCCGGATCGATCCCGAGGTCAGGGGCCAAGAGCACTACTTTTCGCCATAATTTAATTTCTTTCTCTATAAATACTAAATGTAAACTCTGTGCATCCGACTCGGTTTTGCCCGTAGCCAGAGGCGCCCCCTTCCCTGTCGGGTTCGCGAGCAGGAACGTGCGCGGCGCGTGTGTCTGAATACAGAGCCGGAATCAGTTGGGCCCGAGGGGAGGGCAAGGAGGGGCGGGCGCCGGCCGGGCTCCCGCGCCCATCTCTCTTTATTATAATGAATTAATTCGACTTTATTTATCCCATTTTCTGGAGCTGACAGAATGTTAATTTGAGTTGAAATTTCGCTCGCCTCTCACTCTCTGACCCCTGGCCTTCAGATTGGCGTGTTGTAATAACCTGAATCTTTCAACAGAGGCCCTGATAATTGTTACCTTATTAGCATGCAAATTGTTTAATTAATATTATTATGAAGAAGCATACAATCCGTCCGTCACTTGACCTCGAGAGCGAGTCCACGCCGAGCCGGCTCCGCGCATCTCAATGCGCCCATTTCAATCGCCCGTGTTTTTAATGTCGCCCGGCCCGGCTCGCGCTCCGAAAATCTCCTCGAGTGTTTGAGAGGGGCCTTTAATGACGGCCGGGGCGGCCGGGGCGACCCCCGCCCGGCTCGAGAGCTCTTCAGAAGCCCTCGGCAGCGGCGCCGCTGCGGGGAGTCGCTCGGCTTCTG